CATAAATCGGACCATTAGATCTACATGAAATTTCAAAGTACTCTACAAAGGACCTAAGATAATTTTTTTTCTTGAAAGTTTTCTTCCCATGTGAAAATAATTAGTTAATCAGCGAATGTCAGTGCAGATGAACAGAGAAATACTTTTTGTCCTGAAGTTCTGATGTTTATTAATAAAATAAAGTCCCCGTCATATGGGTTTATTTTTCCCCGCTATGCTTTCTTCTGTTTTGTGTTTGGAAATTGTCGTTACTTTATTTACAATTACTTAATATAATTATGTAGCTATTTCAGGTATCATTAGTGACTAACTATTCAGTTCATAAAATAATCTTTAACTAACTATATTTCCACTTCAAATTTCAGTAACAGAATTCAATTCTCCTGACATGTTAGTTTAGTAACACTTTAAACAACCTCTTCTCTGTGAATCTGATGTATTTCATATTTTCTTTATTATCTTCAATCATTCAGGAATAAAACAACCACATAAAAGAAGGTTTTTTTTTAGGAAATCAACAACAAATCAACAAAAATATGTGCCTCCACATCCAAGAATCGTGGGTTGGATCCCAGCAATCCTACCAATATGATTTAGCTACTTTAAAAAATACTTTGAGACCATTTCTAATGAAGTCAGTTCTGGGTGACATACGCTATTGCTTGCAATAGCAGACTTTCTAGTTTTATTATAATATCATTCTTAACCGAAATAAAAACTTGATATTTGTTCTTTTATTGTTGTCTGACGCCACGTTCGTCAGGCAATATAAGAATCAATTTTTCCATGGTCCGAAACTATGCGATCATACTTCGTAAGCTATATTTTATGCAAACTGATTTACATCGGAATTTGTTACCTTCATTTTAACAAATATGAGTTGCAGAAGAAAGAATCATATTACTGATGCAAACTAATGAGGTGTTAACTTCCTTCAGTTATCTTGCACGCCCCTGTTTATTCTTTGCGATTCTTTATACGGTTATATCCGTGTAGCATTTTTTCTGCGTTTCTAAACTACTGGATCAGTCCATTTGTCTTGTACGAAAGAGGTGACACAATCATTTCGCTCCAACTGTCACAAGTAAATTATCTTCGCGCCTTTCTCTTGGATTGTTTTATCGAATGGGTGTGATAACATCTATGAAAATAAATAAAGTATTGTTCTTTTAACCTCATTCTTAAACTTAAGATTTTTTCTTAACTACAAATTTTATCTCATTTTTTAAATAACACATTGTATTTGGGCAGGCAACACTAACGAGTAAATTACTTAAATTGCACCTATTGTTTTTAAACATTCATTGTTCTCTGGTTCTTTTTTTCTTCATGTTGGATTGTATTGCTTGACGCATATGAGTGTATTATGCAATAAAGATAATATTACTAAAGCAATGGATTTGCTGATTATTTTTACTATTTTGTTTCCGGGTTATTCCATAGGTGGAATAGTCCCAATCTTAAACAAACTCCCATCCTGACGTTGTATGGATGCTTCAACCTGGTAAATGGGACATCCCTTCTTCATTCAGTCTGTTTTCCACCTAGCCTTTCTTTCAATATTACATTTATTAATAACATACGTTACAAGGTAAGCGTTTTAAAAAAGCTTAGTAAGCCAACCAGTAGCATATTATTCCATGCTTTGTGATGAACAAGGGTTTCCTTTTAATACAGTGACAAGAGTGTAGGCCAGTACCCGTAAAGGAACCCGTAGAGGAATGGGCTTCACTCCCGTAAGGTTCTAAGTAAAGAATCGACAAAAGGAAGAATATTACATCATGATCTATGCTGGTTTTCATTTAAAAAAAAACCATGGTATAATAGAAGAAAAGAAAGGTCCTGAAATTGGTTCAAAGTAGAACTGTATTTTTACGATTTTAAAACTGTACATGAAGATGTATTTTAAACTCATTCATAATATATATAGTAAGACCATTATCGTAAGTGAGTTTCGTCCGGGAAGGGGGGGGGGGTATTAATATCTCATTTTGCTCTAGCTACAAAGTGTACAGGCCATTACTTTGCATCGTAGAGCAGCATTGAAGCATTTTCGTCTCAATTACTTCAAGACAACTTTCCTAAGGGCTGCGCTCCATTGACTGTTCGGAACACTCCGAACATGTGCAAAGTCAATGGAGTACAAAAGTGCACTGTTCTCGGACTGTTCTTTCTGTCCATGTGCGAGAGGTAGTGCAGTCAGAATTCAAGATGGCGACAAATTCACAAAACAGAGCGACACTCTTTGAATGCGACAGTTGTCATCGTCTTTTTAAAAATATGGAAGAATTTGTTTGCCATGCATGTGATGATCCAGGTATATATAAACTTATTGCATATAATTTTTGTTCGGTTAACTAAAGTACTAAAGTTATTCTAATAGATAGTTTTCAGTAGGCCCAAATTAGGAAGAGTTATTTCCCGTTGACCGCCATATTGGAGGTCAACATGGTCACATTCCTGCGACAATTGGCAACATTTAATGCGGATTCCTCAATTTTTAAAATTATTTATACATTATTAATATTTTATTATCATTTTTTTATTACTTTTTTGGCTGAATTATGGTTATGTATGGATTATATATAAGGCAAATGTATTTAAATTCAGTAGACATTTTGTCTGGGTCAGTGACTGGCATTCGCAACGGCTACGCTCAATCGTGATGTCTCAAACCCCCTTTCTACTTTATTGGCGTCGGAAGCAAAGGGGGAGGCTAACCCCCCCACCCCACCCCCCCACCCCCCCAAAAAACGTTTTGGGGCCAAGCCCCAATTTCCAATGCCTAGTATATTAGCCACCGAAGCTCCCTCCCCCCCCCCCAGTTCTGACGCCTATGTACTCTTCTAAGGTAGTAAGTACTTAGTGACTATAAGGTATTACATGTTTAAGATTTTTAACCCCCAGTTACTAATTAAAACTGTTAAAGAGAGTATCAAGATAGTAAACCTTTATAAAAAAATGTTGCCACTTCTATGGTATTGCAGTTGGTCATGAAAAGCTGATAAACATGCAATTGTAATGTAATACATTAAAGATTAAGGTATTATGCCCATGAGCCTGTAAGTGTACACATTGCGTAGGAATTTGGATGTAAGTAAAAATGCCACATTTCTATGGAACATTTGCATGTATAATTTATGAAAGGACTGTTAAAAGAAATTTTTATCAGGATTGGGCAATGTAACATACCTCCAATATAAATGGTATTTAGTACCTCTTAATATAAATATTTTGTTTATTCATTAATTTTACACTTAACAAGTACTGGTGGCTATGATGGCAAAATTCTTCATCTGGAGGATGAAAGTCTGGATCTAGAAGGAGGAGATGGGAGACCCATAGAGCTGGCTCCTGACTCTGCTGTTCTTTGGACAAGACCAGCCACACTTCTCCTTATTGACCAGTATAAAAAGAACTGATCACAAGTGGAAAATTAAGAAAAAAGGCACTATGGAACAAAATTGCAGCAACTCTTAAACAAAAAGAAAAATGTAATTTCAGTGCAGCTCAAGTGGAAGGGAGATGGAAAACTTTGATGCGAGGATTAAAAAATGTTAAAAGACCACACCAAAAAAAGTGGGACAGAAAGAAGTCACCCATATGAGGATGACATAGAATTTATGTCAGCAAAGCCTAACGTTCAACCAGAATGTGTTATTGGGACAAAATCCAGCGCGGAAACCAAGTCGAGCACAGAAACCAAGTCGAGCACGGACACCAAGAGCACAGAGGAGAGCGACACAGGTAGGCCTGACACTCCTACAACTTCTACTAAGAGAAAATGTGTGTCTCCTGAAAAAAATCAAAGTTCAAAAAGGCGTCGCACAAATGATGTAGTAGAAAGCTTGGAGCAAATCATGAAGAATGAGAATCAGCGTTTTGAAGAACAAGTGGAAAGGAGACACCGTGAAAAAATGGAAATGTTTGGAATTTTTTTTTGGAAATTCTACAATCAAGCCAAAAAAAAAAAAAAATAAAAAAATAAAAAAAAAATAAAAAAAATAAATAAATAAATAAAAAATAAATAAATAAATATGAAAAATTGGATTTCATTTCATGAAGCTTAGTACAAATATTTTTATATTTCCTTTCTAGATGAGTGCAAAATATGCATGGAGGATGGAAAAAATTGCAGAAAGTGTAATTCTTCCTTGTGGACATCTGATAGCCTGTTTGAAATGTGCATCAAGTCTTACTGGTAATAAGTGTCCAATATGCAGGAAGCAAATCAACAAATCCATTAAGGTTTTCAAATGTTGAACTTTCAAGTTACTTACAATTTACTTGCAGTAAACTGTCTTTAAGGGAAAAATCAAGTAGATTATGTGAAATTATCCCTTTAATATGTCCATGTGTGAATATCTTTATTTTTAAGCAAAATGTTTTGTTTTTATTTTTATACTTATCACAGAAAGTGCCAATTTTTTGTTTTGTTGTTTTGTCTTATTATTCCATGTTATTAAAAATGTGGAATTTTTTTTGAAAGTTTATTGTTAGTTTTATTTGTCAATGAAATTAAATACAAATATTCAATAAATCAAGTTCAAGCAAACAGTGATTATTTATAAGACAATTAGAACCACACGTTACAGTATCAGATATAACTTGTAGGAAATAATCATTCAAGGTAAATTTTGAGCAATATTGTCACGTTTTCTTAGTCCTTCTGCTTGATTGTCTACTAAATTTCACTGAAGCACATTAGGCACTTGCTGATTGTCTTAAAAAATCTTGTACATCCTCATTGTTTAGGATGCATGTATTATGAATTATGCAACATAAGATGCATATATTATGAATTATGCAACATAAAATAATGATCTCAACAGATGTTTTCAAGTCTAAAGTTTCCAAATATCGCAGACGTCTGAAACGTCCTTTTAGACACCCAAACGCCCTCTCTATTGTCACTCTTGTGCCAGAATGACGGTAGCTGTAATTTCTTTGTTGGGGTGTAAAATGGCCCGTGTCACGGTAGGGAGTGAGTGGCCAGCTTTTCAAAGGATAAGCTCCATCTCCAAGAAAATGTCCATTGCCACAAACTGCGATACCATTTTCCATATATCTGTATTCTTTAATACCTGGACATCATGGCAGCTTCCAGGCCAACCTGCTACACAGTCAATGAATCTAAGGTCCTCTCTGCAAATTCCTTGCAAGATTATTGAGTAAAACCCCTTTCGATTGACGTAAGTTTCTTGGTGGTTTTTAGGTGCTTTTATGGCAATATGAGTACCATCTATAGCAACCAATACACTAGGAAAATTTTGTTTTTGCTCAAATTTGTCCATTATTTCCAGGCGTTCATTAGCTGAAGGGAGGACAATAAATACTTGTTTAAGATGATTAACAAAAATGTCTGTGATCCTTGTGCGGCATCTAATAACAGAGGACTCTGTAACATTGAATCTGTCTGATATGCTTTGAATGCTATCTTGGGTTGCCAAATACCAAAGGCTAATTAACAAGTGTTTATCTGTTGAAATAAATTCTCTTCCTCCAGTCCAGCCAGGTTGTAACTGTTGAAAGTGGGCAATATTTCTACATAAACATTCAAATGTTGATCTAGAAATCCGAAAGAAGCGTCGGAAATCATATAGGTTGTAGAAGGGTACAGTTTCCTCCACATACAATTCTATTCTTGTTTTATCTTTCCTTGCCCCGTAACACAATTCACATAACATTTAGCTAATTAATAAACACTTAGAATATGTAAATAAGATTTTGCAACAAATAACTCGATCTCGAACTTCTAACTCTTTATTTTCCACATACATCTTGATTATGGTTTTATTATCCTTGCCCTATCTATAAATGTAACACATAAATTAATACACACATAAACATAGAACACATAAACATAAAACTATTTTGCAACATTAATGAACTCTAAAAATCGCTGTCAATCCAGTTACTCTGCATCAATATTTTCTTATAATATCAGGCATGTAGTAGGGGGAGGAGGGGCTGGCATCCTAATTTTACCAAAACATTACTGATCCCACCCCCCGTTTTTATTGCAGTATAGTTAAATAGTTTAATCAGCAAGGTAATGCATGAGAATTTTTAATAAAATCTGGTTAAGAAAAAAGTTGGAACTCCCCCCCCCCCCCTATGAATTAGGATTCTCGAGTATGGAAATTTTTTCTTTCAGCTGATTTTTTTAATCTCTCCCCTCCAAATAAACAATACATGTACTATGTGCCTCAATTTGAATTTATTTCTTTAAAAAATCCACGTTTAATTAATAATAATGATAATAATACACATGTATTTAAGATGAGATTTTTTTTATTAATAAAGAAAATAATTTTATTTATGTAATATTTATCCATCTAAACCTAGTTCTGTATATTTACTGCATCTAACTGAGGAAACGCACGGGAATATATCAATATATCATACATTTGAATGTATACGACAGGTGTACACTGGTTAACTTACGTTGATAACAAAGCAGCTGCAAAGAGTTGCATAATTCTTTGAAAAGTTTGACAAAATTCCCCTTCGTTTTCAAGCAATTCATCCAGAAATATTGACATTAACGCCTGAAATTGCATATTGTCCGCCATAGTCCGTGTTCTGTCTGCACCATTCATCTTGCGCGAGAATTTGTCTGGGACGTGTCTCGAACAGGTCAATGGAGCGCGACCTTAGTTAAAACTGTTCGCAATTTGTCGTACAGAACGATGGAGAATACACCAATCTATAAATAAAGGCCGTCTCATCAATCTGTCACTGACCAGAGAGTGTGCATGAAGAAGCGACCCCTCTGATAAGAGAGTATGACTTTCTTTAGAACGACTCGTTCTAACTATTTTTCCCAGAATTCCAATCTACGCAAGCGAACTTGCAGTTTCCTCCCAACTAACTAGTCAGCCCGTGGGCTAACTAATAAATGACCTAACAGTGGCACGTCTTAGAATTCGTTAATTTGTAATATTTGGTTATGACAAGAGAAAGTCAATTGTACATTTTGTATAATGAAGTATTGCAACTTTGTCGCTCCTTGATGACGGAAACGTTTAGCACTTCTCTTGCTTATACGTTCCATAGATATTGATTGATTTAGTCAGGCAAGCTTTTTGAAAAGCTATTACCTATAATGCTTTTAAATATGCATTTGTATCACATCACACAACTATCTCGTCCCTGGTTTATGCCCTCGGATTGTGTCGGCACGCGCCATAGCCGATATCAACCTCACGGCCTGATACCAGGACGGAGATCAAAACAGCTGTATGATATTCTAAAATTTTTTCTTAAGAGTCATACTATATATCCACTAGGACAAATGTTTCATATCTTATATACAATCAGAAAGTGGTTTTTTACCAGAGGTTCATCTTTAATGAAAAATTGACGAGAAAATATGCATGTTAAAGTAAACACACCGTCTTTTGAGTTACATATTACATATTTAAGTTATATATATATACCTGAGGTATATAGTATATATTTAACACATCATCAAAGTTAGGTGATGTCAAAAGACGTAACATTGTTGGTGTGAAAAATAGAAATTATGTGATCTGAGAGAAAGATAAACTCACGTCAAATGAATCTTTTTTCTTACAAAGATATTCTATGTGGAAATAATTGGTTATTATGTAATTGATCAAAGAAGAACCTTACGTACAATGTATAAAAATATACTGAAGACTTTTCTAGAGCTGTAATAAAAGAAACAACATGACCTAGAAGCGGGGGGCAGGGGGACGTCCATCCCCCCACCCCGCCAATAATCTAGCCGATATACACTATTCTATAGTTAACAGAGCTACTTTATGCTCGTGGACTCTCAATAATAGCATCCATTGAGCATTTTCTTTCTACGGGCCTGAACAAAGAGAATTCATTAATATCACCCGCATACGGTGTTTACTTCTCCCAACTTATTAGATACTCAAGAGCATGCTCTGACTACGATAATTTTTTTTTAACCGAGGGTGGCAACTGGCAGATAAGTTGATATTGCAAGGATTTAAACAACCTCGTTTAAAGACAGCATTTCATATACATGACAAATTCAATGGTCATTATAATATCCTTGTAAGTATAGTTAATCTAGCCCTCTGGACGTAGAAATAAAACATGTTACTGAAAACTATAATAAAGCAATCTTTATACGGTGTTTTAACCATTGTGAATTTGTTACACCGTTTTTGTAGTTCTACTCATTGGCTTTAAGAATAGCTAGTCTTTCTCGAAGACACCAAACATTTCAAAACACCCGTACAAAGCATGAGACTGAAATATTAAAAATGATAAAATATCTAATTTTTCAACATACATGGGGAACTATTTTCTGTTTTAGATTTAAATGTCATAACAACATGTGCCATCATTGAATGTGTGTTAATGATTGAGTGTCAAAAAAATGCGTTAATGACTGAGTGTAAACAAATGCTGCATTTGTGTATAAAAAGTAGGTGATTAAAAGCAAACAAGGAAAGTTCTTTAATATTTGAAAATCTTTTGAAATGATTTCAATATTTTCTACGGGAGAAAGGTATAATTATATTATACACATTTATTAATAGTATCTGTGTGATTAACAAAGTAAATGTAGAGAGAAATAATCTATTCTTTTCTGTTTTGAAGAAGAATTATTTACTTTTACTTTTTATTTCATGTATTTGCTTGTTGTTTGTACCTAAATTAAGAAATCACAAGTTAAGAAATCTATTTACAATTGTAAAGACTGTTTTTTTTTTAACTATTTCGCAACTGATAGGTATATTAACTTCGTAATAATGTATTTGTAACGTTTTGATAAACTCTTTTCAGAGGCGTTCAAAAAATATATATGCAAAAATATAAAACATATGCTCTTGAAATTTCTAACACAGAATTTATAAAATTTCACAGATATTTTCTGGTATTATTGTTAGGAATGTCAAAACATTTATTTTCTTTAGTCGAATAGTCGATTGCATTATTCGAACACTACTGGACGAAAAAAGTGCTGAGAATCCCAAATTTTACTGATAATGTTTGATAATTACTGATACGGTGCTGTTCTTGCTGATAAATACTGATATTTACTGTTATTATTACTGTCGTTGCTGATAATTTTAGTTGTTTCGGATAAATACTGATAATTACTGTCGTCTTTACTGTTGAGTCTGATAAATACTGATAAATACTGTTGATGTGCTGTCGATGCTGAGATTTACTGATAATTACTGTGGTCTGTTCTTAAGCTGGGAAGGGCTAAAGAAGAACTGAGGGCTGTAAAAACCTTCAATTATTTCTTTCTTTTAATTATAAATTATCATACGACATTTTCATATTTCTTTAAATGTTCTGCTAGTGACAAAAATTACGCTGATCTCATTTACTACAATACGGTTGTGAAAATGTTGACAATAAACAAATGAGACCGCGTATATTAAGCAAATGTTTTCTACCAATCTATGAAAATAGTATAATTTATCTGTAAGCAAGATAAATGGAATTCTATTAATGTACTGTAAATAAAAAGAAAATAAGGCTATCTTTTAAAAAGATTCATCGCCGCCCTCTCCCGACTCCAAGATATTTGGGTAAGGAGGTCGGTGATGTTTTTTTTTTTGTTTTTTTTCAATAATAAGAAATAGTTCTTAATGGGTGGGGAAAAAATCGGAATAAAAAATATTTCCTGCAGGTTAGAAAAGTTTGATTCGCACGGTTTAACTCCGTCAACTGGTCAAGAGAGGACGACATTTTCTTTTAAAGATGACCTTTCATATACCTATTTTTGTTTTTTCTTTCTCAAAGACATTTTTTTTTTCATTTTTAAATGTTCGGTTTTCTGGTCTCTGTCAAGATATTTGAAAATTTGCTCGAAAATGAGAAATTTTATGCATTTTTAAATTTAATAAAGAGATGAAAACAGAGGTGAATATGTTCAATCTGGAGGCACAGATTATTTATTTATTTATTTATTTATTTATTTATTTATTTATTTATTTATTTGAACGTAAAATAGGCATTTTAGATTCTTCCAGAATATCTCTTCTACATCTACATGTACACGATACATACATGTGCAACCGGCAGATTGGGGGCTGATTAAAAATTAGTGCATGGTCAGAATCCCCAGTGTCAGAGCGAGGGCACATGTGTTTATGTTATTTTGATGTTGGTCTCTTAAAATTTCATGACACGAAAAATTTTTATTCAACAAGTTTTAAAATCTCTTTAATTTAATTTTATGGAATGTGAAATAAGAAATGAGACCTAATATGTTTACTTAGTAAAGTACATGTATATGATCAAATTGATCGATTTTAATCTTGTGTGGTCAAAAATTGCATGGAATAAATTGATCTTCATTGATCAAAAATCAAAGATCAGTCTCTGATTTGGCTGTATTGTGTACAAGTCTTCCGCCCCGGGGTAGAACGGGGTACAACTTGTATATTACATGTAAATTGTAGTGGTAAGCGTAACAATGGGCACTAATTACCTATTGTTCCTCGTCTGCGGCCACCGGTGTACATAATAAACAAACTACCTACACTGTACATGTACTTTCTTCTTTGAGCAGGAAAATCTTTACGGTCGCACGGAAAAAAAAAATTATCCTGTAATATTCAATTTGTTGACGAATAAAATTGAAAATTGAAAAAAAAACTATTTAGCAAAATAGGACATTGCAGTACTAAGATAAAAAAAAAAAAAGAAAGAAAGAAATGAA